CTGTAATACACTCTTTAATCTTGAACCTAATGGACACTTCCAAATATGGAATCAAGACAAGAGAAATCAAGTCCACATCCAAGTTGAAGTGATTCTCATTGTATGTGTCCATTTCACATCTGTGCTCGCTAATAAATTTACCCACTTTCCATAAACCTGATTTCTTCTTAGTGGCACGCAACATCCAGTGACAACCCATAAAGTCTCTACGGCATACAGCCTTATATTTCTCCGTAGTTGACTCACTTACCGTCATCTCACGGTACTCTCTTATACTGTAGATTTTTACAGCCCTAATTAGGCGAACTTTATCGGGGAAGTACATGCCCTTTGTCAGATAGCTGGTCTAGACTCATCCCATATCGCTGACCGAAATTTATCATCATCCCTTCTGAGGGCATCCACGTTCGGCATGCTTGGCAAATTATCAAGGTAGGGAATATTCCGCTCATAAAATGGCACGCGGGACTGGTACACTCTTGGTCTAGCGGGAGGTGAAGGAACATTCTCCCTCGTCAGCTCAGGTTCAACATTCGCTTCCTCCCCATCATCACCCTCATCATGGAAGGGTGTGTCATCCCCAGACTCATCCGCATTGCTGTCATAATCACTATCATCTTCCTGACTCTGCACATCTGCCAAATCACGAGTAAATACATCGTCTATGGGCAATTGTGTGAGGTCAGGAGTTTCAAGAAGCTCGTTTTCACTGCACAAAAAGAACAAATGATAAGTTACCCAACTAGATAAATACTTTAGATATAGCTATATCACTTTACTTACAAGTCATACTGTCTTGACGTTTCATGATGGATATTTTCTTGTTGGTGATGACTCCCGGATGGACCACTGTGGTCCAATACTCCAGAACTACACATATTCCAACTAGGGGTGGGGTCATAACTTGTAAAATTCATATCCGGGCGGTACCCCCTATAAATAATATGAGTGTTAATACAAATCCAATTAAAACATAAAATAAACATCGCTAAAGCGTAGTAAAATTGAAGTTTACCAGTCGTCTTGTTGATTATACAAAGTCGAAAAATTATTTTGTGGCTGCTCATTCGCCGGTGGTGACAAGTTTAAATCAAGGCAAACTCTTTCATCAGCAATCTGTCCGGCAAAAACTGCTCCAGAATAACCACCCGATGACTGGGGGTTATCTGTACTATGCACACCCTCATTATTGGGAACGTCTTCCACCTTGACGTACATTTTCAATAATTTTATTACAATAAATTCCTTGTATTCATCCGGAATCCGCAAAAAATCTCTAAGAGTTTCATCATCCTCGATGTTAAACTCAGAATAATAAGCAAACCCCTGCGGAGTCACTGAATGCGGAAATCTACCAGTTACTTTAAGGTTAACCGAACGCCTCCTATCACTCATTTTTTTACGTAACAACGATACCAATTTATAGTACTCCATTATAAGCGACAATTAACATGACACTGTGGAGGTGACCTATACCTCACAGAGTTATTCTCCAACACAACCTCACCCTCCCTTCCCCCAGTATAGTGAAACCCTTATTTTTGGCACTTAAGACATTGTAAAAAAATGATTGATAAGAAGAAGAGAGAAGTATGAACGTAAGTTTGAAGTAAAGTATTGAATGGATTTTTATAAAATTGAAACGCCTTTAAATAAGGCAAGTCCGAGCTTGGGGTGTAGAATTTTTCTATGTAAAACGCAGTACAATACTATATTTTATGTATTTAAATTATTGTTATGTCAGTTAATTGGTGGGGCCAAAAATCAGAGTAAAACGCAGTATAATAGTACGTTTTAGGGTAATTTTTTTTTAGCATTAGAAACGTACTTTTTGTCCAAAAAAGCATCAAAAAAGTTTCGGACTCCATTACCCTCCACCTCCCCCAGTTCCCCTTTTATTTCTCATCTTCTTCCTTTTCTCTATAGATTTTTCTCTTATGATGAAAATCTTGTGCAATTTTTTTGGAATTGTGATTTTGATTGATGTCAGTGGTTAAAAGTAAAAAAGTGATGATTATTAGTGGTGGTTTTTTATGAGTGGCGTTTTCATGGGATGAATTGATTGTTCTTCTCTAGATAGCTGATTTGAATTTTGGGATTTTGAGAATTGAATCTATCAAAATTTTCACATATCTGGTACAACTCCTCTATTTCCTCCGTCCCTTCTCTTAGCTCCTCCACGATCCTAGAAGGTATTGGTTAAAAGAGAATGGGACCTACAAATTACACATGTCAAATAATAATTGTTTAAAAAAATGATGCGTCAATCATGTCATAGCAATTGAGATACACGCTCAGGTGGAGGTGTTTATTAGTATTCATTCTGTCAAGTATAAGTGTAATAGGAAACTCTTAAGTTTATTTACCGGGTTGATAAACAGGTACAAGTTTAAACGGCCCGGAGGCCATTTTTTCGTATTAGAAAGGAGATAAGATAGGATAAATATACATCCCAAACTAGACTTGCCAAGATGGGGAAGAAACTTCAGTCGCATGCTTTCTGTTTGGCGACAGGCAATCATGCTACGGTTTTGTTTTTATTTGTGTGTTCAGTTTGGTTAACAAGTGAACGAATTCAGGGGTTTTATTATTTGTATGTTCAGTTTGGTTAACAATTAGAGTCTCTCCTCTTTTCTTACTAGTAATATCTAGGACAAGTTATTATTTGAGTTGTTACTAACAGTTCCTACAAAGAAAAATGTAAAGCAAACAGAAACAATTTGGTGATATAACACATCTTAGACGGGATTTTTTCCTTTCTATATAATATTTGAAATTTATTTACCAAAATCGTTCTAGTTTTATGTATTACCCACTCTAAATAAGGATTATTTACAAATTATATACAATCCATTATTAGTGCCTTGAATTAGGAGATTTAGTTACATTTTTTTTCTTTTTTTTCTCTCCTCTCCTCTTTCCTCACTGCCGCATCTCTCATCAATTTTTCTTTCTTTCTTCATCTTTCTCTCTCACTATTTTTCTCTCTCAATAATGTAAACCTAAAAATTCTCTTCTGCCAATCAACCTATTGAAGTAACCTCCAGGTCATAGAAATTGAAGATTCGAAGACTAATCTATCATAAAGCTTTGAATTCGAATTTGAGTTTTCAAAAATCATTTTTTGTTTGGATTGGGTGTTGTTGCAAACAATTGAGAATATTATTTGGAGTTTATACCTCAATTTTGAGAGTGCTTGGTGAAGATTAGATTTGGTTCTGGTTAAATTTCAGATTGAAACTCGAAGAATGAGAAGAAGCCTTTGTAAATTAGTGCACTGCGGACTATGAGCCCGTTTGGATGGGCTTATTTTAAGTAGCTTTTAAGCCAAAATAGCTTTAAAGCCATATGTTAGGATTTCTAGCTTTTGGCTTGTTTTTATCATTTTAGCTTAAAAATAAATGCTTAAAAGCACTTTTTTCACTTTATCCAAGCACTACAAAATGGCTTAAAAGCTATGTTGGCTTAAAAATACTTAAAATAAGTCAATCCAAACGAACTACATTACGGTTTTGAATCGTTTTAATATGATAATCTAAAAGAAAACATTATTAAGAGGGCGTATGGATAAGGTAACTGGTCCACTTTGACCACCATAAGTCTCTACGAACGAAACCTTTGAGATGTAAGTTCATCTTATTTGAGACTAAAATAAAATCATTGAAGTCTTTTTGGCCATTTGAGATGTAAAAACCTTTGAGACTTTTGGATTTTAGCCTTCAATTATTGATTATCTTATATTCCAATAAGTGACAGCGACAACTTGAAATAAATATACGTTATCACCTTACCCAAATTTGCCGGCAAAAAGGACATCATAAAGTAAATAGCATGGTAGCTTGACATAGACAAAAGGTAGACGTGCAAAACTGAAAATTATACTACTAATCTACATTAGTTTTCCACTTCTTTGGAACTCTCTATTTAAGAAATTTAGAAATCTTTGTTCTTCATTTAGTTGTGTCCTTGTGGAAGTCTCCAGCGCATTCCATCTCTTAAGAAATTGAATACCCCTTCTTTCTTAAGAAAGAAATGGAGTATTAGTTTCTCAAATTTTCAATTGTGTACAAAAAATTCACCTTTTAATAAAATCTCAAGTATATGATCTTCACTCATCAGAAGGCGAACTTCATGTCCAATTTTGGTACCTAACATAGAAGTCGCAAATGAAAAAGTGGAATTTCATCAAAAAGGGGACAAACAAGGAAATGGTGGAGATCCTTGGCAGGGAATATTCCCTAATCTTGTTTACGTAATATCAGAGTAAAAGTCATTATGAGAATAGCAACTAAATTTATTGGCAAATCAATTTCTCCAAAGTAAATTTTTACATGCATTGACAAATGAGCTTCAGAATTAATGTGTCTTTTCAACATCAAAGAAAAATGGTTAATACTCTGTCTACTTTGCCTTGAATGGACTTTCATGTCCAAAAGAAATTTCTTAATTAGATGAAGTGCATACTTTAAGAGAAGCTTCCATAGTGGATTATAGCACGGAGTATCATCTTACAAGTAGTTCCTCATCAGAAAATATAGATGGCTACAGTATATTTTACTATTCAGTTGATCAGGATCATTAATAATGCAACAAATGGAAATTCCAACTTACTATTTAATCTAGTTACTAAAAATAAGGTAAAACAGTAGCAACGTATGTCATCAAAGATTGAAACTTTTGGAATTTCAATATTTCCCCAGAAAATAAATATGAAGGGTGAAAACTATATCGTAGAAACCAAAATCTTCAATTGTACGACCTTCCAACCTTCCAAGGTGTAGTTGTTTCACATCGGAAACATACAATAGTAACTTGTATTTCTTGTAAGCAAATTGACACGGGACAATTTGTTAATCCCGAACTTCACATTCACAATCACGCTGCTTTTGCTTCTGCTGCTCCCTCCTTTGATCCGACCTTGGCCTCACCAGAGCAACAGCCACCACCATGATGATGGTGATGATGCTGGTGGTGCTTCTTCCCCTTCAATTCCTTCCTCATATCATAAGCATCTTCCCCATCTGCATAGTACTTGGCTTCCATATCATGAATCTTGTATCCCAATGTCTCTGTATACAGCTTAAATGCAGCCCGGTTACTCTTCCTCACATGCAGAGATACATACTCTGCTCCAAACACCTTTACCAAGAGCAAAACCAGACCTAATTGTTAGTGTCATCCCAACTGAGGAACATGGTTGTATGAGGGCAAAAAGATTTGCATGCTAAATAAGATTATTCTGTTTCATTTTTAACTTTCAGCTCATTATAGAATCAACAAGTAATAAAAGTGACAGAATGAACACGGGCAGAGTAGGTTCCAAAAACTATAACTCAACAAGTTAGAAATCCAATACTATGTACCTACCTAATCACATTGATACTATGGTCACATGCTACCAAAAACTTGTGCTTCCCAACAGGGGTGGGTCCAGGCTCCTTAGTGCAGAGGAGCTATCTAATGGCACAATGTAACAACAGTTGCAAAGGGTAGGGCAAATTGATCATACACTACCAGTTTCTTTAATTAACGTGATTTTCAGTCCCCATGTCTTAACAGATTGATATTCAACCACCTTCTCAAACTGTATTTAGGAAGATATAACTCTTCATTCTAGCCGTGACATGTAGGTGCTTCCAATGTCATTTCTATCCCTTGGGTCTAGTTTTGCAGTACTGGTCCCTACTTGGAATTAGCTCATCTTCACTCTCTTTTAGGTTCTCTATTTTTATTTTTTGGGCGGAAAATACATCAGTTTAACATCAGAGGTGTCCTGTGAAGAAATAATAAATTGGCTGATTCCCTTTACCATGAACCCAGGATGAGTATCCATTTTTACCAATTTTACGTCCTACTCCTTCATGGCATCGGTGGGAACGGGAATTCAGGAAGTTATAGTTGGCAGGGATTTATTATAAAACATAAGAGAGAAATTCACCTCAAATTGCTATCTCTGCCCCTCATTTCCTGGGTCCAGTACATCTAAGTTCTCAAAGCATAACATCATCATAAGTCTCTGATGTAAATTACATCTGACTTACTATTTTCTTCAGGTTCTGTGTCCAGGCTAGGTTCAGCGCTCAGAGGGACACCAAGATGCCATGATCTATACAACCAGACCATCTACGAAAGAATTGAAAAAGGGTGAGACTTCCTCCATACCTTCACCCATGAATCATCTTAATCCCATATACCAATCCAGGTTGACAGTTTCTGCAAGAAGCCCAGCCAATTTTTTATTTTTTTTTGGATGAATAAGCCGTACCGACTTTGATATGGTATTAGGTAACCTTAATCTTACCTTATCAAAAAAGAAGAAGATGGTAATAGGTTAACCAATGACAATCACAGCATTAGTTCTCGCAACATTCACATAGATCACCATGACACATTCCCCTGATGTGGGAGCTATGTGAACCTGAAAGTGTGAAGAGAATCACTTTTAACTGAGCAGAGCAAAGATGTCTGCCTTTCCAAACAAATTCGGGGCACCTTGTTGCTGGCCTCTTAAGTCAGTTAGCTTAGTTATATCTATATCTTCTTCTTAACGATGTTCTCAATTGACAAGAAACTAAGAAGAAGAGATTTAGCTGTCGCATGATGCATTCCATTTCAACTGGGGATTGATCAATGGGTAAGTGAATGAGAAGTGCAGCACAACACCATACAATAGCATCAATCTTTAAGGGATACGGAAACCACTCTATCGAGCAAGTGGTGCAATAAAAGATGTCATATTGAAACTTTTTACAGCTATACTTTACCAGAACACATTGATCAATGGGTAAGTGAATGAGAAGCGCAGCACAACACCATACAATAGCATCAATCTTTAAGGGATACGGAAACCACTCTATCGAGCAAGTGGTGCAATAAAAGATGTCATATTGAAACTTTTTACAGCTATACTTTACCAGAACACATTGATCAATGGGTAAGTGAATGAGAAGCGCAGCACAACACCATACAATAGCATCAATCTTTAAGGGATACGGAAACCACTCTATCGAGCAAGTGGTGCAATAAAAGATGTCATATTGAAACTTTTTACAGCTATACTTTACCAGAACACATTGATCAATGGGTAAGTGAATGAGAAGCGCAGCACAACACCATACAATAGCATCAATCTTTAAGGGATACGGAAACCACTCTATCGAGCAAGTGGTGCAATAAAAGATGTCATATTGAAACTTTTTACAGCTATACTTTACCAGAACACATTGATCAATGGGTAAGTGAATGAGAAGCGCAGCACAACACCATACAATAGCATCAATCTTTAAGGGATACGGAAACCACTCTATCGAGCAAGTGGTGCAATAAAAGATGTCATATTGAAACTTTTTACAGCTATACTTTACCAGAACACACCCAAAAATTATGATTTTATAAAACAATACTGTCCCCACTACTGGTAGAGCGCCAGCATTAAACACCTAAAGCTCATTGATTGAAGATGAAGGGAACAAAAATGTCTGGAATAATCCACATAATTTCAGTGATTATGTGCCTCGTTAAAATATTCTTTCCACATATTTCACTAAATTGAAGCTTTTGTATTCATGTGGATTTCTCGCCAACAATGCATTACTGTTAGTCTACAATTTTTTGATTCTTTTTTTAAAGACCATAGGAAATGCAGTAATGCATCAAAGACCATAGGAAGCATTGTTGGAAATTTCTTGTTGGTTTAATAGACTCATTTATCTCACAGTAATCATATTTTCTTTGGTTGATTATGCTATTTCAAACTGCATTTCTGCCTAATGTACTTCAAAAACGCGACAAACCAAGCTCAAGAGTAAACTTGTCAAGCATGCTCTTGAGCTTAAAACTTTTATTTAATCCATAGTTGAACAACACATAAAGCGTTGAGTTTGAATATCTATAACTCAGCCTTGACCCAACTCGTGCACAACCAGGGGCGGATTTAGGTGGGCGGAAGGGGTTCACCCGAACCCCCTTCGCCGAAAAATTACACTGTATATATAAGGCAAAATCTGTTTTTACCTCTATATAATAAGTTTTGGATCCCCATGACACAACCCAAGAGTGTAGCTTAGCCTTAGCGGTCAAGCGGGTTCAAAACCTTTGTAAGCTCATAGGTTCAATTCCCACTACTTACAATCCTTTTTAACTTTTTTCTTTTTGAACCCCTTAGCGGAGATCCTGCCTCCGCCACTGTGCACAACCCAATCAAAGCACACACAGAAAAAATAAAAAAAAGTCCAAACACGTCACCCATAAGCAAAATCTTCGTTCACCATCAGACGTAATCAGCCAATTCCAACTTACAAATTAACAACTGGGCCATATATCCATCTTCACATAACTAACTGTCTAATTTCCAAAACTAATTTACTTAGTAAAACGTTCTCTCACTAATCTAATAGGAGTACCAGATACAAATCACTTATTTATTATTTTAGAAAATGAATCTATTTTCCAAATTTAATCACTAGTAGAAACAATATTAATGTAATATATATCTCCAGAACTAAAGCACTTGTCATCAATTTTTGTAATAATTACAAAAAATTACCTGTTCCGTGGCATTCTGAGCAGCGGTCATGAGCTTAGTAGCTATACCAAGTTTACGGTGAGTTCTGAGTACAGCTAAGGAGGTGATGTGTCCGTGGCACTCTGTGGGTTCCTCTTCCATTTTAGCTAATACATATCCCACTATCTTACCATTGTAATCTTCAGCAACGTACAGAAGCTGCGGCCACGAAAGTATGTGGTAAAAATAGTACTTCATCTGGTAGTTCTCCGGTAAGCATAGCAGATTGCATGCTTGCATTGCAAGCAAATCATCTATCGTCGCCTTTCGTATGCACACCATTCAACGGATTGTTAGGGTTTCCAGAAATGAAACCGTGCTCTTGTTAGGGAATCATAAATTTGGGCTGGGCTCCTTAGTGGAAGGTGGGAGGGAGGTTTGCACACATAGGATTTATATTTTGTCCCTCTTTAAGCAAGTTTTGTAAAAATACAACCATATATTCTTCGTTTAATTTTGTAGCACATGTAATATAAACAGTAGCGTCGAAAAGGGCTGTTCGCGCACATCATTGCCTTTTTATTAAGTTAGTCACTTTTTCAACATTCCATCAATTAATTTTTTGTTCAAGGAATATATGGTGTTAGTTTAAAGGTTTTGCAACTTTTTGTGGAGTAAACATGGTTGAAAAATTGTTCTTTTAAAAATGTATACTGTATCGCGTGAACATTGTTTTTCCATAGTGGAAGAATAAAAAATAGATCTGAACAAATAGACCAATTTGAAACCAAAAAAATAAAATAAAGGAAGTTGTCTAATTTTAGTGATATTTCAAAACTATCAATGTCATGACTTACTACCAAATTATTCAAATAGTTGAAACTAAAACTCAAACAACTAAAAATACGATTCTAGTTCTAGGTAAAAGGAAAAGTCTATGTAACGTAGACATCCGGTGATTCTTTACACTGGAAGAATTCTCAATTAATTTTACACTGGACGAACAGGCACGCCCGCGCTCGCGCGCACACGAACAGATTACAAAGAAGTGCTACAGAACTACAACAAATACCCGGAATCTCGGGTAGTGTAATCCTTTTCATTTCCTGAATTTCCAAACTCTGATATACTTATCATTATGTGTAGTAACAACTTTCTCCATCCCAACAGCTAAACATGTGATTTGTGGCCGGGAAGCTCTTGGCATAAGATCAATTCGATCATCTTCAGAGAGCCTTTTCAGTTTCCTGCTCTCAATTTGGACAGTTCCAAATCTCTCTGTTGAACAATGCAACACAGTGCTACTATCATCCATTATGCATCTCGAAATTACTTCACCAGTTACCTGGTCGACAATTCTTAACACACCGTCGATTCCACCAACCACCAATGTTGAAGTGTCGTTTCTAAGGTGATGCATAGAATAAACAACATTAGGAGACACTCGTGTTTCCCATAGAGTTCTGTTTGTCTTCCTGTATCAAGCATTTTCAGGATTGAAATTATCAAAAACTAGAAATATCATGTAAACTACACAGGAAAACAAATTTCTCGAATCAGAGCAGATAGCAGCAAGCTGTTGCTAAGCAAATCCAATCATCATCTAAATCTATGATGAAAAGAATCCACGTTCACATTTGAAGACGAGAAAGACAGAAGACATATCATATTAGCCCTTCACAAGCTTTTCTTTTCAAGTTTATGCATCAAGAAAGAAAGAAAGAAAGAAATTTCAACTAGGAAACAACCATCTCTTACAATGAAATATGTTTTGGTGCATCACTGCAATCTCAGTCAAGAATGAATCTACTCCACCCACTGAATCAAATTTTGACACTGATATTTGGTTCACATTTTTTGAGTTATCTTCAGAAGGTCCAAAGTTCTCTCTACTTCAGCCTTGACTTTAGTGCCTAATCAAAACTGCACTTCCCTCTCTGTACTTTCGGTGAAGCCAATTTATGAGTCAATATTAGTACCCTTGAAACAATTCTGTGTCCCGGCACCCTCCCATTCTAAAAGATACTTTTCATTTCAAAGAGAACATTACTGGCCCTACTAGACCTATCCTACATACTACTTTTTGCATTCAGAACAAAATTATAAGAAACATGCAACCTTGGCTTCTTTTGTAAAGAATCCTTCAGCAAGTGGTCTTACATCATTAGGTAATCAAGCCCATTTGCTTTATCTTTCATCATGCTGATTGCTCAAGTTGTGTCTTTTGAAATGTATGCATTATGATTGATGGAACCTTTCAACAATTTGGTCCTCGGTCCTCCATTTTCAACAATAATTTTTCAAGAGAGCATTATCATTTTAAAATTGGCCTCAGAACCACATGTTATACATGCCCAGTATTAATTTTATTCCATTCCATCTTAGACAGCAGTCAGTCAAAGAGAAATAGTAAGTTATTTTTTCTTTCTTTTTTCCCTTTCTTTCATTCTAGTCTCTCCACTTATTAACTTTTATATATATTAATAACATCAGTACATAGGTTGTACTGAAAACCAGATTTACAAGTAGGTGGTAAGTAGATGTGTTGGTGTGCAACCTAGCAAGATCCTAGTATGTGTACGATTGTCAATGTATCTTCTGTGTAAATTTGTTTACACCAAAAACAAAAAAGAAGAATACNTAGGTGGTAAGTAGATGTGCTGGTGTGCAACCTAGCAAGATCCTAGTATGTCTACGATTGTCAATGTATCTTCTGTGTAAATCTGTTTACACCAAAAACAAAAAAGAAGAATACAATTGAGTTTGATCTTCTGTACTGGGTTGCTTCTATCTTCAAAACATCTAGCATTCCTTTCCCTCCAAACTGTCCACCAGATACAAGCCGACAGTCCTCCATCTATCTCTGTTAATTGCTTCAGCACCAGCTTCTTCCCAACTACAAAGAACTTCATTAATCCTGCATGGCATTGTCCATGAAATACTCCTAAGACTAATAAAGATTTTCCATAGTTGGTTTGTTATCTTGCAATGTAGAAATAAATGGCTAGCAGTCTCCGCGTTTTCCCCACATAGGAAACATCTTGAACACAGAGAAATTCCTCTTTTTATGAGATTATCCTGGGTTAATACAGCCTTCTTTGCTAGTAGCCAAGAGAAACATGCTACCTTATATGGAATCTCTCTTTTCCATATATGCTTCAATGTAGGGGTGTTCATAAAAATCCGAAAACCCGAACCAAACCAAACCGATCAAAAAACCGATACTTTTTGGTTTGGTTTAGTTTTGGTTTTAAAATTTAAAAACCGATACTTTTTGGTTTGGTTTAGTTTTGATTTTGAAATTTAAAAACCGATCAAACTTGGTTTGGTTTTGGTTTTAATAAAAAAAAAGGAACCAAACCAAATATAGGAGTAGCTATTTTAAATTTATTATTACACCTATATATGTATATTTTTAGTTTCAAAAATTTTATAGTAAATGTTAATCGTTTGCACTTTTAGTACAGCTCTTTACATTTACATTCTAATTTGATTGGTAGTTTTCTTTTGTTAAGTGTAAGAATCTATTTCATGTTAAAAATAATATATTTTTAATTGAGTCCTTAAATTATTCATCACTATTTGATTCAATTATCATCAATATATCTTGGTAAATAATAGATTTCTCAAAGGGCAATTGATTTGATAGTGTTACGTTGAAAATGTGGTTACCGAAATATGTGTTTGGTAGTGTATGTCTTATATTTAAGAAAAAACCGACAAATAACCGAAAAAACCGAAAAACAGACATAAACCGAATCAAGAAAAAACCGACTTAATTGGTTTGGTTTGGTTCTAATATTTGAAAAACCGACTTACGTGGTTTGGTTTCTTTTTACGGGAAAACCGATCCAAACCGAACCATGAACACCCCTACTTCCATGGCCAAGCATCTATCTGAAGATCATTTTGATTCAAAATCTTATATGCATCCTTCACCTGATAGACCCCTCTCCGCTTATTTTTACTTGTTTCCATTTCCTTGTTTAGCTATTTAGCAATTACCCCCAATATCCATGACAATGCTATATTTGAAACCTCGGAGATCTTGTAAAAGGGAAACCCAGTACACAAAGCGGCCCGTATTATACAGGGTTTGGGGAAGGGCCGCACCCCAAGGAGTGTGATGTTGACAGCCTACCCTAATGCAGTGGCTGCTTCCACGGCTCAGAGATTTTGTACTGGCGCTAAAATGGCATTTACAACAACTCAAATCCCACAGAAACTAGAGTAAATATTTAGAAACTGAAGGATGCAATCTGGGGAGACTTATTCGAACAGATTGAGCAACTTTTGTCATGCTCGTCAAACATAAGCAGACTCGAAAGTTTTACGAATACGAGACATCCCTAATTAACCCTTAACAACTGCAGCAGCATATAAAAGGATCGACGAAGCTACTGTCTAAGGATCGAAAACTGACTCTAGCACAGAAAGCATGGAACAAGATCAGAAAGGCTGGGGTGCGTTAAAAAAACACATGTAAGAATGTTGATTCAAGTTTTAGTCATTTCAGCAAACCTGAGGTCCCAACAAGAGACATTTCCAGCAGTTGATCCGGCAAACACCATATAGGAGCTAGGGTTGAAACACAAAGTCTTGATCCCTGTCAGTAGAGATTCAGAAATGAAGAAAGAAAACAAATAAGAAATCAGATTACATAGAGAAAAGCAATATTCCGAAAATAAGACCAAACATAATCTAATTGAGCTAGAGTCAGAACATAAAGTTGGCAAGAGATGACAAAGCAGAGAAAGAAAACAAATAAGAATTCAGATCAGAAAGAGAATCAAGATTCTAAAAGAAAGAACAAGATAATCTGTAAAAAGTGTGTAAAGCATTTGCTCACTTGCAATCAAAGATTGACACTAGGAAGCCCTCGCAAGTGTGCTGATTAGAAGCCAGTTTGAAAAGCCTAAACCGGAACAATTTTTGTATATAAGTCAAAAATAAAGCAATATACTTGGTAAATACGGTGGTTAACATTTTCTCCTCGAAATTAAAGCTTTTACATTACTCATCTCAAAAAAGAAAAAGGGAAAAGACTTAAAAAAAGGAAAACTGAAAAAGAGAACAAACTGCACATGCGTTCATGGGTATTAAGGCAAGAGAAATCAATGGCAAGGGGTGTAGAGGCATCGTTCTATAAGTTATCAGTGTATTGTGGATCTGACAAAATGTATTTCACAAACCTGCAGAAAAGGTTGATCCAAGCAGAACAACTCGCTGATCAGAAGAAAGATCCGATAGTGAAAGGGTGCCAAGAGAGGAACCACTAACAAGCAATTGGTCATCAGTAAAAGCTAAGCAAGTAACAGGCCCCTCATGCATCCTGCAAGAAATTCAACTAAACTAATTACATATTCGTCTTGAATGTAATTTTCGGATTAAAGGAAGGTGAAGAAAAGGCATCAATTCTGAATTTCTGTTAGGGAGAGAGGAAGAAATCACCATTTGTTGGCATCATACCCTTAGTGCAGCAGGTCTATTTAGAGGTTANATTCTCCTCCTTTAATCCAGACTCCTTTTTTTAATTAAGTAAATAAATTTTCATAAATTTGGGCCAAACAAAAGCGCCCATATACAAGAAGTTTAATCCAGGCTCCTTGAAGCTGGTTTAACTATAATTAGCTGATATTGATATGATCCTTGAGCTGAATTGATTTCTTATGCTAGTTTCCGATTTTGTTGATAAAAGACACTACACATTACAGAGAAGGTACATCAGCTTGACAGCTTCCTATCTCATTCTCCTTCCTGATTATTTATTTAATAGGTTCTGAGAGCGGAAAAAGAGGGGCAATCCTGCCAAAGGGATTTCCTTAGGATATAAAAGTACCAGACAGAAGCATAAATTTCATGTTCACTATAAAGCGATTATAACATAGATTAGCGTCCCAAAACAGAATGGTCTATGTGCACGTGTGCAAAGAGGGGCAATGAATGATCCAGGGGAAAATCGTTTTAACCTTTTTATATAGTGCACAAAGCATTTAAAGTAGGTATGAAACAGAATCATACTTTATTATTTGGGAACACTTTCTGCTGTATAGGTCAAATACACGAACCTTTCCATCCTCACATCCAATCACAGCTTCCGGATCTACATAACTGGAAAGGAGGAATGAAACTACTATCAGCAAACGACAAGAAAAACATTCCATTAGCTCTAAGGACAACATAAGCAGCAGAGATTTGCAAACATGGAGTTAACGGAAACAGAGAGATTCAAGTAATTCAAAACTTTAAACTTGCATACTGGTCCTCTCACAAGCCTTTATCTCAATATCAAAGGGGTCTGAGGGAGTCTCACTTTAGCACCATTTCATCAAAATGAAGTCCCAATAAAATTTCAAACTGCTTTCTTCAGTTAACAAATATTTGATTCTTCTCCATGTGGACGACATAGAAATCTTAGCCAAACTAGAACAATTAAAATACTGTAAGTTAATTAACTTATCCAAAAAGATGATATAAGTAAATCATTAAATGACATTATAATGACACTGGAATCGCCTCTTCCCACATTGCTGATGGAACTTTGAAGGGAAAGAAAGATGAAAAATAAAAGAGGTTACACACCGCATACAGAGGCCCTTTGTAAATAAGTTCTCACGTGAGGAAAATACATTTCTTGTCTCCGTCCGATTCCAGATGCATATACGGGTGCCAACTAAACCAACAACCTGTAGAAAAACATTTCCAATATCAAATACAAAATGTCTATGTCAGACTTGATTAATGAGGCCAAAAAAGATATACTCCATCTTGCAATTGGTGTCAAATGAGCAAATGTAGAAATGAGCCTAATGTGCACTTGTTTATGTCCTTGTCTTTTGCAACAGAAACTACAACCAGGACAAACCTGTATCACTCCTAGAAAATAAATGAGCTCTTTCTTACGAAACTTATGGCTTTGGGGCCAATTAAGGTAAAGCTTCATGAAAATGTGCAGTGCCTGTGGTTGCACAGAGTATTTTGATTGAGACCAATGCTGGAGGATTCCAAGACAAATGCACACAAGTTTAGCTTGTAAAAAATATTTCCTCACATCCTCGGTATTGCAGTGTAAAATGATTCTGTGATAGTGTTAATTGACCTCAAAGGATTAACTCGCACTTCTTACTATTATATCGCACGCTGCTGTCTAATGAGGAAATCTTGTTTGACTCCTTTGCACTCTTTCTCCTCTTATTGTAACTGTGTTTAAAAGCGAAAAGCGCAAAAGAAAAAGTAACAAGATCCATAGGGCTTGAAGTGAAACGCACGATTCACTGAGGTGAAGAAGTGCACAATTACGAAAAATTAAATAAGATATATAAATTTAGTTTTATAATATAACTAATCTTACCATCCAATATACAATAAAAATTATAATACCTTGAACTCACCTTGCCCTCGTCAAAATCAAAATCAATTAAAGGGGCTTTATCGACAAGGAAATATTCATCCAAACATTTGCAGCTTTCTGCCGACCAGAGACGCATGACCTGGATTATGAGGAATGTAGAATGTAAACTTAAAACCATGTCCTATTTTGATGTGAACAAGGCATGCAGAGACGTGTGGCCAATGGCAAAAGACAAGTCATGAATACCATATTTTTCTGGGAGAATAATACAAGTAATGAATAACATGATACACGATAGCAATTATATTGGCAGTACTTAAGAGAAACAATGACACTTGTCAAAAATATCCAATTGATAACAACTAAAGAGAGAGAACTGCCTACTCATTTCTGAGAAATTAAACAAGAAAACATGATCAGGGATGTTCTACTGTTACACTTCATCCAAACATATTCCACAACAACCAACAATCATCTTCGCATCTTAGGCCTAATAATGTCTCTCCACCCAGCACCCATGGAGCTCCACGGCTGCTCAGCCTATGCATTGCACACTGGCTTTATAGTAAAGCCTTCTTGCCACAACGATTAATAGACAACAGAAGAGCAAAGACAAGCTACGGGACACTGCCAACCAAACATAACCAATATGGGAATCTATCAAGTGCAGATAAAACAAGCATTTTGTATGATACAGGTTTATTTTACCAGAATTTCAAATTAATTACAACTTTAAAATTTAAGTATCTTAGAAAGAAAAAGAGAAATCATGGAGGACAATTAAGTGCAGCATAAGGTCCACAAAAGGAGGAGGATTAAGGATTTGATGAAACGAAGAGAGGCAGTTCCAATGAAATCATAATGATTCACATGTATTATTACAATAAATCTCATGTAATAACTATGAGTGCAGAACTTTCCATGATTAAGCACTTTAATCAATCTGACCAGAAGCATGACATCTTCACCATGCTTCCACATCAACAACTTCTGATCACTAAGCAAGGTTCACAAGCTATCTCCAAGAGCTTACTGGGAGGAAATGGATAGTATACATGATTTTCCTAGTAGACAATGTAGTAGTATGACTTTGCGCTTTCCAGCCAAAGGAAAGAAGCCAGTATGAAATTTTTATTAACTCCTATAATTCTTAACAGAAAAAAGCGACCCTACCTTGTCACCCACGCCGGTAAGGACTTTTCCCATCTTCATTCTGCACTGATTAACCCTAATAGGAATTGAAGTTAGAGAAAATATCAAATTTCACAATATGTAGGCTTAATGCATAATTAGAAAAAGGTATTATTATGGTGAAAAATCTTCGTTAACATAAGGAGGAAATTGAAGTTCATTTGGTATTACTGGGAAATGTGAAAGAAAATGATTTGTCAGAGAGAGAGAGGGAGAGAGAAAGAGAGAGAGAGAGAGAGAGAACTAGCTCAACAGACTGTTCTTAGCTTTTCCTCATCTTTCCATATCCTTCAATACTTTTATCTTGTACATTAGGAGCTAATTTTATTTTGTATATCCAGGGATTTGAATATGAATATCATATTAATACTGGAAGAGGAGAGGCTAGTGCACTAGGAGGGTTGAACTGCTTATATTACTAAAACTCTATAAGGGTGACTATAAGGGGACCTTTTCTTCCATTTGGGGATTCTGCTTATATCTAGGAAGTCAATGTAATATGGCAATGGGAGTCAGGACAGTGGACTCGATCAAAACGGAGAGGATTTAATGAGTGTGATGAGATTTTCAGTGATAGAAATTGAATTCTAAGTCGCTTATGCTATGATACTGAATCATGTAAATGATAAACTGACGATTCTACAATAACAAAAGCAACGACCCTAGAAAGTGTACATTTTTAATGCAAGATTTTCATGTTAAGGATTATTATAAGCCCTATATGTAAAGCTGCAGAAGCTGCTTATATTTTTTGAGCTCTTTTTCGTTTTGTTTAATTAAGAAGCTATTTTTCGAACTTAATAAGTGTCTTCTTCTGTTTCTATGTAATGTCTCAGTGCCAGTGTGTGTATGAGAGAGAGAACTATGTTTTCCTAAAGAAGCACTAAATCCATGGAATATTTAAATAGTTTGATCATAGTTCCAACTTACAATTATGAATAATGGATATTGTAATGCTTACCCAACTGAATGACCTTTCCATTGAATAACACTAGCTGGAGCTCTTTGTAAAGCCAATGCGTGTCGTTCCATAGCTAGCTGTTCCGCTTGTTCACTCAATGATCTCTGAGAGAAAGACGCATCCTGGAGGCCATTAGGATCATTATGCCGTTGCTTGACGTATTCTGTTTGATTTAATTTTAATTTATTTATGGCTTTTCTCCTTTACATGACAAAGCAAGGGCAATACAAAGAAGACAGTCAGTAATTGGCTGAAGCAATGTTACATAGCTGAAGAAATTATATTCAATTGGCTGTTAGTAGGTCAAAGGTGTGGAAATTTGAGGTGGTACCAAGAAGTGGAAACGGCGGAGCAGCGAATGAGCTGGAATAAGTCGAGAAAGGAGAAGATGATGCACAAGACGTCATGGCTCAGAGCTTCTGCTGTTGTTTTCTTCTTTTTCTTCTTCGCGGTTGCCGTGCCCGCCGTGAACGGCTGCCGGGGACTTGACGTCGTTGCACTTGGGTCCATTTTTTCCAGAGAAGGAAGAACAGGAACAAGAAGCCTTTTTAATTTTTTTTTATTTTTTTTTGGGAATGTTACATAAATGTGCCAAAAAAAATAACTTACGGAACTCTAACCATTAATTATATATACTTTCCAAAAATAGCCAAGCATATATAAAAATTAACAACCCAAAGAAATAAGGTTTTTTCTCTCCATGAATCACACGTAAAGATCTTCTTCCATATTTTTAAGCGTCATTAGCAACATTAGATGTAAAACGAAAAGGAAATTCCATGGATGAAGTAGTAAATAAGGTGATGAAATACAAAAAAAAAATATACAAAATTCCAAAATCTAAGCAAAAAAGGACTTTTTTCAATGGATATGGTTGAAATTCATTGAAAACATATAGATGAGCCAATATACAAAATTTGGGAAAGATTGGAGGTGATTTGGACTCAATTGGTATCAAAATTCGTAGTTAAATCGAGTTCAAAAAGTTTCTGCGACACATGTATCAAACATATATCACACATGTATCTCACACGCAAGTATATATGGATATACATGTGATAGACATTTGATACAAATATGATACATATCTGATACACATTGTGATACACATATTATTTTTTCATGTTCATCTTCTAATTTGAATTTTCAATTCAAACCATCTCAAAACTGAGATTCAAGCTCCTTAAGATGTACTCAATCTATTCTAATAACACCTACTCAAAAGAAAGCAAAACTTTGACTTATTTTGGCTACAAATAATTAATTGGCTAATACTATTAGTAATATTTTATAAATTGGCGAATTTTTATAATAAGCTACTTATAAATGGACATAGTTGGTATTTTCTTTTTCTTTTCTTTTTGGGACAACAGAAGCATTTTAAGTTGAGGCCCATTAGTTAGGCCCACGAGAGAATAAATCAATAAAAATAGCACGGGCTAGTCAGTATTCAGGCTGGTAATTGAAAAATAGCTAGTGTTTGCAAAGTCATTGAAAAATAACCACTATTTTACTGCAACACAGAAAGTTCTAGTATAATATACTGGTAATTGGTGTACCTATGTATGAACTTCCAGCAAATTACGCTGGAATTCCAACACGCGGAAAGTTCCAGCATAATATACTGGAGATTGGAGCATTTGTGTATGAACTTCCAGCATATTATGCTGGACCAGTATATTATGCTGAAAGTCCAGTATATTATACAGGAACTCCAGTATATTATATCGGAATTCCAGTATATTATGTTGGAGTATTTTCCGAATTTTGAACAGTATTTTCGTTCAGATATATCTTTACATGAAAAGTGGCTAAATTTCGATTACTTTTGAAATTGTGGCTGTTTTTCAATCACCACTTGTAAATCTGGCTATTTTTGAATTTCAGTCTCATCGAGCCTGGTTTGGCAAGTTTAGCACAGTTATCCAGAAGTTTGGCATGACTCGTAATGAAGCTAATCACTCTGTGTTTTATCGGCATTCTGCTTCAAGTCTCTGTATTTATCTGGTGGTATATGTTGATGATATTGTTCAATGATCATGATGGTATTACTAAATTGAAACAACATCTCTTTCAACACTTTCAGACTAAGGACCTGGGCAAGCTAAAGTATTTTCTAGGTATTGAGGTCGCTCAGTCTAGCTCAGGTATTGTGATCTCATAGCGGAAGTATGCCTTAGACATTCTTGAGGAGGCAGGAATGACAGATTGTAGACTGATTGACACTCCGATGGATCCGAATTCTAAACTTTTGCCAGGACAGGGGGAGCCGCTTAGAGATCCTGCAAGATATAGGCGGCTAGTTGGCAAATTAAATTATCTCATAGTGACTAGACTTGACATTTCCTTTCCTGTGAGCGTTGTAAGTCAGTTTTATGGATTCTCACTGTAATAGTCATTGGTATGCAGTTGTCCGCATTCTTCGGTATATAATCGGCTCTAGGCAAAGGGTTATTGTTTGAGGATCGAGGCCATGAGCAGATCGTTGGATACTCAGATGCTGATTGGGCAAGATCACCTTCTGATAGACGTTCTACGTCTAGTTATTATGTTTTAGTAGGAGGCAATTTGGTGTCTTAGAAGAGCAAGAAACAGAATATAGTTGCTCGGTCTAATGCAGAAGTAGAATGTCGAGAAATGGTTATGGCAACATGTGAGCTAATTTGGATCAAACAATTGCTCAAGGAGTTGAAATTTGGTGAAATCAGTCAGATGGAACTTGTGTGCAATAATCAAGCTGCCCTTCATATTACATCAAATTCGATGTTCCATGAGAGGACTAAACACATTGAGATTGATTGTCTCTTCGTCAGAGGAAAGATACTCTCAGGAGATATTGCTACAAATTTTGTGAAGTCGAATGATTAGCTTGCTGATATTTTTACCAAATCCCTCACTGGTCCTTGTATTAGTTATATATGTAACAAGCTCGGTACATATATTTTATATGCACCGGCTTGAGGGGGAGCGTTAGTTTGGTAGTTAAATAATTACATGTAAATAACTCTAATCCTATATGTAGTAGGAGTATAACATGTATTATATAGGCAGAATGTCCTAAATGACACCTATACTTGTGCCACTTTGTCATGCCGGTCCCCAAACTCAACAATTTGCCAACTAAACCCCTCTACCCTTAAAAACTGAGCATTTTAAACCTCGTTCATCCTATGTGTCATTTTTTACTGAAGTGTGTGTGCTACACTCATTTAAGAAGCATGAGACCTATTAAAAAGGTAACAAGAGCCATTTCTTGGCTGTCATATTCTTCCCGATTGTTCATCCTCCATTGTTGAACAAAAGTGAGGTTTTCTTCTCTGCTTTTCTCTCTCTCTCCAACATTTTCTGTCCAATTCTTTTTTTCACTCTTCAATATTTTCTTTTTAATTCTTTCTCCCCTCCCATATCTTCTTTCCTCGAATCTGAAACTTTATCATGAATTTAGAATCCTTTGGCCAATAATTCAGATCTCTTTTAAAATTCAATTATATGCCCTTTTTTTATAAGGGAAACACATCAAATCATCAAAATACCAACAAACCAAAAAAAAGGTCAACCGAAAAATCCTCAAAAATCACCACACCTCAAAATTAACCCATAAAGGATTTTGAAGCACAAATTATACATTTTTTACCAATTAATCTTTTAAAAAGATTAGAGCTTTTTGAGAAAATCAAATAAGGCAAGACTTGTTAAAACTGACTTTAGCATTTCGTCGAACACTTGGTGTCTGCAATTCTGCAGATTTTGTTTTTTGGATTGTTGTGACGATAAGCTCATTATAGTTGTTGTTTGATCATTTGGCATAAATCACTTGCTCATTTGGAGTCAACTGGCATTGGTCTTGTTCAATTTGGACACTTGTAGCTCCATGCTCGACCAACTAATGTTCGCCGGTCATATTTAGTTGGTTGGAGGAGACTATTTCGGCATTGAAATTGTCTGAAACTTGGTGGGTTGATGGTATTTGAAGTGGAAAAAAATCTCCACTGCTTGGAATCACTCGATTTGAAGCAGAATCGATATGATAAATATCAGTTTTGCCTAGGCGATTTTTCGCTATAGTACTCGATCCACCATTGTTGAAATCTGCAATAGCTTGGGAAGAAATAAGAGGGGCGCCTAGGTGGGGTTTATGCACAATGGTGAGACGCATCTTTTGGGACTGGTCCGGTAGCTTTTCACCATCGAACGACGGCACAATGGCCATTCCGCCGTTGCTGTGTTACTGTTCACATCAGTCGCACCATTTGAGGGAGGGGATTAATGTTTGATTTTTATTTTTGTTTTTGATTTTAATTATTTTTAATCTACCACGTGGCATGGCATCTACACATTGTTATTTTTTGACGTGGCAGCCAACGTGGAGGAGATTGTGTTACACGCACTGACAACCTCATGTCATAAGCATTTATTATACACGATTTGAAGGAGTGTAAGTGTTCAATAGACAAAAATTGTTAAGTTTGGGGACCGGCATGACAAAGTGGCACAAGTATAGGTGACATTTAGGCTATTCTGCCTATTATATATATAGGACTCTCATTGTATCATTGTCAATACATCAATTTGGTGTCTTGGAAGAATTCAATCTTTTGAAATTTAACAATTTTTTCATGTAAAGATAAAATTTAAATAAAAATATCCTTTAAAATTCAGAAAAATTCACATATTATGCTGGAACTTTCCGTGCTAAAATAGTAACTATTTTTAATGACCTTACAAATGCTAGTTATTTTTCAATTACCAATCTGAAAACCGGCTAGTTCATGAGCATACCTCAGTTATATCAAAACAACCTTGGGCTAAGTCAACCATAGAAGTTAGTTCATGAGGTAAATATTGCTGAAGATCATATAAAGAGTTACAAGTATACAATCTTTGTCCAATGTGGGAAACCAACAACTTATAAACGAAAGACTGCACATAAATGTTGGAAGTCTACTTCTCTCATTCTTGTCTCATGCCATAGAGCTTTTAAGTAGGAAAATCTAATTCTTCTATTGTTTGTCCTTCAAAAGTGGCGACGACATCATCCACTATTTCAGAATAAATTAAGTGTGCTCGAGATATTCTTGGTCATCTTCACTTTATGGATTCCAAGCTTGTTTTTTTTTATTATTCATATCAAGTTTCTTGGTGTTGACTTTCATTTGTTCCGAAGCATGTTGCTTAAGAGGCAACAAACTCATTGATATTAGTTTATAGAGTGCCAGCTTGTTATCGTGAAATTAATATTTGCAGTTGCCTAACACTTAATGGCGCACGTTTGATACACAAAACAACATATACAAAAGAGAGAGATGTCATAAACTAGTTCAAGTGATCATGTTCAGTTCTATTCAACTTTGACTAAGCAAGCTCATGATATGATTAATTAATAATATGATCATAATTAATTACACAAAATGATCAGCTGCTTGATTAACTAATTTAAGCATCTCCTGGAGGTGCTGTACCCGAAAGGAAGTGAGAAATAAGAGAAAGGGCTCTAGCAGGTTGGTAACTCGGAACTTCATGTCCTGCCCCTCTTACTGTTGCAAATGTTAGTCCTCCTTTATATGTTTCTATGTATCCTCCAACCTACAATATCCAAATGAAATTATTATTTTTCACTAATTGTTACTTTAAAATAGAATGTTTAAGTTGTTTTAATTTGATAAGCAATTAATTAATGATATTCTTACCTCTCCTCCATACAACCAAGAGCGCCAAGGTTTGTCTACTGTAAGCTCCATTGCCTTTATAGATCTCTTTGAAGAAGTTACAGGTACTCTTCCATCTGTATCACCACTATATTTTACAAGTACAAATAATATATGTTAAATTGAAACATATTTCATTATATACTTTCGAATGTATATTGAAGGCAAAATTCCTTATAAATAAACTAAGCAACATAAAAGTACCTAAAAATCCATACTCGAACACCATTTGCCAAAGACTCTTGTAGGAGAGGAATTATAGTCAACGGACTATCTTTCCAATTGTAAAAAAGAGGATCACTACAAAATGGAAAATAATTGTTGGGTTGAGAAGAGAACACAGACAAGAAAAAGCTAATTTTCTTTTATAGAAATCCGTTGAAATTTGTTCATTTACAATTACCTGCAAGCTTCCCAATCATAGCTGATATTGGTGACATTAGCGTGGAGCGCCTCTTGAACATCCCGCCTGTTCAAGTAAGCATAAATGTAATTGTCGGAGCATGGATCAAATTGCAATGTCTGCATAAGATAAGACATAGCAATCCTTGCGTTATTATTCATCGCGTAAATTAAAATAATTTCTACATGTTATAATATCCACATAAAATAAAACGACAAATACAAGTTATCCCACTTACAGAAGGGAATTTAGGGTGTTTGGTGAGATTGTCATCGTGGCACAAGGGAAAATAAATGTTGTAGATGTCAAGATTATCGGTATTGCTGTCTGAAACTGCACCTGCCTTGTTGCACTTTTTCTCATTGTAAAAATCGGAGTAACAATATTTGTGGATATCAAGGAAAGTTTGATCTGATATTAGGGCATGAGAGGTAAAGTATTCATACATTCCTACGTTATCTGTATCTTCATTGATCACTGCATTCCCGATCTACAATTTGTTGCAACAATAAAACGTCAGTGGTATGAAAACTATAAGAATATTTAACTTATATACACTAACAACGTAAATAATTAATTAGAGAAACTTACAATAAATCCTTTTAGATTGATAAGAGTCTTGTTGGCGCGCTTGTTAAGGTGAAGAATTACATGTGCCAATTGAGGTACATAATGACCCGCATAACTTTCACCAGAAATGTAAAAATCTCTGTTCTTGTACTCGGGAAACCGCTCGAGCCAATTCAGTAAAAATACAACATTATCATTAGCTGTTCTCTTATCTCCAGTTGAGTTGAAGTCACTGCTTGTATTTGTATAAGAAAATCCTACTCCAGCAGGAGACTCCAAAAACAATACATTTGCAACTATATATATAATTCAATCGGAGAAAGTTAGAATTATATTAATATATACTCCGTTGATAATTTCTCAACTGTTTCGAAATATTAATAATAGAAAAGTTACATCAGTAAAAGGAAAAATTAAAGAAAAGAATTTACCAAGATTCCATGCATAACGATTCCTGTATAATGTTTTTCCATCACTGTGAACTCTAAAAGGTCCGAGTTCCTCCATGGCCCCAAATGCAATAGAAGAACAGCCAGGACCTACACATATAGTTCATGTCTTTTTAAGTATTCATTTAAAAAATTATGTACATATTTAAGATTAAAAACTATACAAGCATGTCCAATAATGTATTGATCAAATACTTTTAAGTGTTGCTTGAAGCAAGTGATATAAGATTTAAAATTTTAAGATAGTGAGGTAAAAAAAGATTTTTGGATCATATGTGAGGGAAGTTATTTAATTTCCCCTTTTAATGAGAATTGTCACATTTTCAAGCAACCAAACGTTAAAAACTTACTCATGAAATATTTTTCTCAAATAGTTTAAACCATAATGATGCTTATTAACATGCCATATTCAGACACGCAAAAATAATGTTTTGGGGCTGGTGGAAGTACAAGTGGTCAATTTAATAAAATTATACATGTAAATGAAAAGGTT